CTCAGGCTGGTTTCGAACTCTGACCTGAGCAACCGCCCGCTCGGCCTCCCAGAGTGCTGGGATTACAGGCGTGAGCCACCGCGCCCGGCCCATCCTAATTTTTTTAAACAAGGACTCTGTCAATGTCCATGCATTTGAGGCGGATAGCTAGTGCCATTGACCGAGCGGGGGCAGGCTTTCTTCGTGGGAGGGCTCTGAGGCCACCGTGGTGCTGTCGTGGGCTGGTGGCCGTGGGAGGGTGAGGGGCCTTGGAGCTGGCGCCGAGGGGTTGGCTCTGTCAGTCCAGAGCACGCAGGGGCAGAGCCCGAACTGAGCACTGCACCGGGAAGGTCACTCTTGCTGCTGTTGAACAGACTTCGCCCGGTTCCACGTCACTCCCGTGGCCACCCCGTGGGTCAGGTCCCAGGACGCCCTTTGGCGTCCATCTGGCCTGCCACCTGCCTCTCTGTCCCTGTTCCCCCCTGCTCCCTTCCGCCCTCTCTCTCTCCCGCCCTCCTTTGCCCTTAAGAACTTAATCAGACCCGCCGAAGAGCCTCCTGGGAGAACAGCTGGCCCCAGGGACAGAAATAGCTCCAGCAGAAACCTTGTCCCGCCAAAGCCTCCAGCCCTGGCCAGGGCTGAGGGGAGCACGGAGCGCAGGGAGGAGAAAATTCAGAACACCCTCCTCCCCCGTGGGACCCACACCTGAGGACTCAGGTGGGACCGCCCCGCCCAGCCCCTGCCACCGGGCGTAGGGCGAGGCGAGTGGCAGGGCGCCCGCCTTGGAGGCCTGAGGTCAGGAGCACGAGCCTGACACCCAGGGAAGAGGGACCCCGCTCGGCTGTGCTCAGGCCGCACTCCATCCTTCTGGCCTCACCCCCCCTCTTGGCCGGGAGTCTGGGGGTGCAGGAGACATGCCCACGCTGGGGTCCCCGCCCATGTCCCCGCAGAAGCAGGCCCCTCCTGCAGGCCCGAGCTCCCGAGGGCAGACAGCACCGCCAGTGTGGACAACCCCAGGGTGGAGGGTGGCCACGAGGCGGCTGTTTGTGGGGTGTGGGGGGCCTGGGATGGGAGAGCTGGGCCGGGGGGCAAGGCCCCTCCCAGCGTGGGACAGAGCTGGGACAGGCCGAGGGCTGGGAGCCGGCTCAGCCCACGCTGCCCTGGGCCCCGGGGGAGCTCGGAGGAGACCGGGAACCCCCAGTCTGAACCTGACCTTCAAGCGGTCTCCAGGGTTTATGAGACGAGGAAGGAAGCAGGACACATGTGTTTCATAGCACGTTAGCCTACTTCGTTACATACATACTGAGACATGTAAATGTGTCCACAATATTTATATTTACATAAATATAATTTTGTAATCTATTTAAAATGCACATTTGTAAATTATAGAACAATTAGATAGATTATTTGAGAAATAATTATGTTAATGATATTATCTAATAATTTAGGATAATCTTATGACTTTATACTGACTTTCCATTTATACAGTGTATGTTTGTGTGTCATCTATCTATCTACGACGTGTGGCTCTGGTCTGTGCACAGACGTGAGGGGGGACCCTGCTGTCCAGCCCCCGGTGCCCTGGCCAGGCCTTATCTGGCCTCGGTGTGAGATTCTGCGGCCAGCTTGCCCTCTCTAGAAAGTTCTCTTCAGTGTCTCCCACTTCTTCTCTCACACAGGGGGACCTGACACAGGGGGACCCCTCTGGCCGAGCCACTCCCTTGCTTTCTTCCTTCAGCTAAACTGCAAACCCAGACTGAGAAGGACGAAAGGCCCCTAAGGAGGCCAAAGCTCGACCCAAGGATGAGTTCCTCAAAGTGGGTCTTAGGAAGGGTGAGGAATTTTGGGGTGCGAAGAGGCTCCCTAGGTAGATTTGTGGCCCAGCTGTATAACTCACACACACACACACACACACACTCCAATGACTAAAGCACCACACGGCAACCCTACCTATCAGTCTACGATTAATCCAAATAAGTTAGAAAATAAGGATGACTCCATTTATTTATGGATGCCCATTGCATATCTGCTGTGGGCCTGATCCTGTGTTGGGTGCTGGGTGCTGGGTCCTGGGTGCTAGGCACTGGGAGCTGGGTCCTGGATGCTAGGTGCTAAGAGCTGGGTCCTGAGAGCTGGGTCCTGGGTGCTGGGAGCTGGGTGCTGAGAGCTGGGTCCTGGGTCCTGGGTGCTGGGAGCTGGGTCCTGGGTGCTGGGTGCTGGGTGCTGGGAGCTGGGTGCTGGGAGCTGGGTGCTGGGTGCTGGGTGCTGGGTCCTGGGTGCTGGGAGCTGGGTGCTGGGAGCTGGGTCCTGGGAGCTGGGTGCTGGGAGCTGGGTGCTGAGAGCTAGGTCCTGGGTCCTGGGTGCTGGGAGCTGGGTCCTGGGTGCTGGGAGCTGGGAGCTGGGTGCTGGGTGCTGGGTGCTGGGTGCTGGGAGCTGGGTGCTGGATCCTGGGCAGGACAGTGCACAGTCCTGGTTTGTCGCGCAGCCTAGAGAGGGAGAGGGGCACACAGGCCACCCGGCGCGCGAGACCAGCCGTGAGGGGCCAGCGGGAGCGGCCTGGCGGCAGGGGAGGGAGGGTCAGGGCGTTCTCGAGAAGGAAGCAGAGTGGACGCGGAGCCGCCTGAGAAAGGGCCCTGAAGCCACTCGGGAAGGTCTGAGTTCGGTCTGAGGGTGATCGGGAGCCGCGGAAAGGCTGAGCGTCGCGGAGACTGGACTCGGGGTGATTTGGGGACAGGCCCCGGGCGCTCTCACTAAGGACGCTCCTCCCCGCATCAAACAGCAGCAAACGAATCCTTGTCACTGTTTCAAAACATATCTGGAAGGAGTTTTATAACTGACTTAGAATCATTATCCATTTCTGCGTGTGTGTTTTGAAGCCAGTGCGGCGCTGGGGTGAGGGGCCGACGGGCCCTGGAGCGGGCAGCTGCCGAGGGCAGCGGAGCAGAGCCGGTGTCCGGGCGGACCGGGCGGCTTGCGGGCGGGGACAGCGCTCACAGAGCTGCGACTCGCCCAGCAGCCCTTGCAGGAAGGAGTGACCTGCGCGGACTCAGGCGTGTCCAGTGAACACCCGACATGCCACCCTTCCCTCTTCTGGTGTTAAGCATCAAAAATACCAACGACCCAGGAAAGGTGACACATTCCGTTGCAACAGCTCCCTGTGCCTACAGTGACGAGATCCCCTGGCCCCAGGCAGAGGCTCCTGCTGCTCACGGCTCTCAGGACAGACGGCCGGTCCGTCCCCGAGCCTTCCCCGCCCTCTCCTCCTCTGCAGGCGCTGGTTACCCTCCCCCACCAACGCTGGCTCTAAGCGTCCCCGTCACAGTCACCGCTTTGCACCGATGTCACGGCTTTTACTCACCCAGTCTCGCACCTCCTGGAGAGCAGGGTCCCTGCCTTGGTCGCACTACTCTGTGCTTGCCCCAGTGCTCGAGTAATGCTTGCGGAATGAATGAATGAATGAATGAATGAATGAATGAATGAATGATGCACGAAAAACGATGTCAACCCCAGGCAGTTCTGAGTGTCCTTCAGCGGTAGGCTGAAGGCATGTAGAAACTTCGGGTGTTTCCTGTTAGGTTGACATAGGATGTTGGCATCTGTTCTAAACGCGTGAGTATCTGTGTGTTTTCCTCTCAAATCACAGGTGTGAGATTGTGCTCAGCCATGCCCAGTGTGTCCCCCGCTCTGTCTGGAGTTGGTGGAGACCAGGAGGCACCCTGGGCTCCATCACAGGGACAGAGTTAGAAATGATGGCTCAGAGAGGTTAGGTGACCTACCCGAGGTCACCCAGCTGGGAGGGCAGCGTGGATCTTCTCACCTGGGGCCCCCCATGCCCCCCCCAGTTCTCCGCCCTCCTACCTGGCAGAGGGGCCCAGGAGAGACCCACTCCTGCCCTGTCTCGCAGGCCCGGGGCCATGTCCCTCACTCCCTGGCTGCGGTGGACGGAGGCCCGGCCCCGGCTGTCCTCGCGGAGCCGGAGCCGGGCGGAGCTGGTGCTGGAGACGCTGATGATGGAGCTGGCGGGGCAGATGCGGGAGGCGGAGCGGCAGCAGCGGGAGCGCAGCCACGCGGGCCGCAAGGTGTGCACCGGCGCGGACTACAGCTGGCTGGCCAGCACGCCGCGGCCCGCCTACGACCTCAGCCCCGGCGAGAGACTGCAACTGGAGGACGTGTGCGCCAAGATCCACCCCTCCTACTGCGGGCCTGCCATCCTCAGGTGAGCGGGGACCGGACCGTGGCCGGGCCGCCGGCTCTGGGGACAGTGGCGGCAGCGCTAGGGCCCGAGGCCACAGGACTAGAGCCGCGGGTGTAGACGACCCAGTTACGTGTGAGAAGGAGCAGGGGAGGAAAAGGAATCTGAGAGAGGCCAGGGGGTACGAGGCCAGGGCTGGAGTCCAGAGGGGGGCAGGGGGCAGCTCCTGGAGGAAAGTGAGTGTTGACATGAGAGAACCCAAGGCCTTGGGCTTCCTGCTCTCCCTGCTGGCTTGTCACCATCCTGGATTCGGGCACGGCTGCCTCCTTCTCCTTTGCCAGTTTATCTTCAATATCGCCTTCTTGGAGAAGTCTTCCCAGCCGACATCTCCAAAATTGGTTTCTTAATTACCCTATTTTATTTTTTTCATAGTATTTTATTTTTGTTTATTTTTTTTATTTTAGCGTATTATGGGGTACAAGTGTTAAGGTTACCCTATTTTATATTAGCTTGCACACTGGTCTGCCTACGGGGTGTGAGTGTGTGTGTGTGTGTGTCCCCACACGCAGGAAGGGCTCAGAGCTTGAAGGCACTGAACATTTAGAGCTTGGGTTCAGCAGTGTCCCTGAATATAAAAGTAGTTGTATAAACGAAAGCTCTGGCCACATACGGGCCTGTCTCGGTACGATTGGTATTAGAGTCAAAGAAGCATCAGTTCCAAACAACCAAGAGAAATATCAAAATAATTTCAGTTCTTTAACTGCATTCCTCAAGTTCTTCATCTGCACTTCTCCTTGTAAAGGAGTATAAACCCACAATCAAACATTTA